CTATGGAACTCCCTACCCCAATCTGTCCGGCTGTCTCCTAATCTATCCACCTTTAGACCATCCCTTAAAACCTCTCTCTTTAAAGAAGCCTATCTTGCTTCTACCTAGTAAACCGCCATTTATTTCCTCCATCAGCTTATCCCCCCCCACAGCAATTACCTTTTGTATCACTCAACCCTTCCTCCTAGATTGTAAGCTATATAAATCCTGTATAATAATAGTGTGCCAGATGGGTCCACAGAACAGCCAGGGGGAGGCTGGGTGTAAAATCGATGGTGACCATCTGAGTAAAGAGTACTAGAGCCCTCAATGGACAGGCTACCATTAGAGCCAAGAGCTGAGCTTAAGCTAGCAACTCCATATGACCCTTTTCCCTGAAATCTTGTGATCTCCACAGCTCTGGAGAGAGGGGAGAATGCCTCATTGCCAAGCATTTGTAATCCAAAGTAAACCCAAGTAATGTGGTAACAATTATATTGTGTCAACAGAAGAGAACTGAAAGATGATGCTGGTCCAAAGTCACACAATGAAAGAAGAGGCAGAGTGTGCAGCTGCAATAGCTCAATCAAAAGTGGGGTTGTTCAAGAGAAAAAAAAAAAAAAGACACCCGGGCCATAAGAAGAAGGCATGTAGGTGCACTATCGCCATTCCAAATGCAAATTAACAATTAGAAATGGTGTCAAATTAAAAGGCTATACAGTGCTCCTGACTCTCTGATGTGACCACTGAAAGGGTGGTCATTGGCTACCACACAACCCCAGAGGGGATACAGAGCAACAAAAAGGGGCATGAATATTTAAAGGGCTTCTGCCCTGTACTTACCACTTAAGACTTCTGTAGGTGGGATTAACAAGGGAAATACCCCATCCTGACTTTGTCCTACATAATGGGCCTACCTCAGCAGGAGTCTATAGGGTTAGGGCACTGCCCCTACCACGTCCCTGGACATGCAGCTAAGTTCGTGTTACCCTATATGCCAAGGGGAGCGCCTGCAGCAACATTTAATGCATTACAGGCTGGTATAAGCAAAACCGGCACTCCGGTGTATAATCTGCAATCTTGTGTTTATTGGTGGGCAACAGATGAATAAGACCAGTCTAGTTGAAATGCGTTTCACATTTGTGGCTGTCATCTGTTACCTGCCAATAAACTCAAGATTACAGAGTATACACCAGAGCTTTATTTTGCTTATTCGGATCATGTGGATGAGGAGTCAGCTTCCTCTGCCAGAGCACCGATGATAAAGCCACGTTATAATAGTGGGAGGTAGTAGCACCTACTTTCATGTATTTGAACATTACAGGGTGGCCCTGTTTCTTCCATGTGGCAAGGTCTAGGTATGGTCATCCCAAGGCTCTGCTGAGCAGTCAACAGATTCAGAAGATACATTAGGAGTCACAGTGGCTATGGTTGTAGGAAGAATCTTGGTAGAAGAATCAGCTTGGTGGAACATCATCATTCAAAAAGAGAGATAAGGAAAACAACATAGTAGGAAGGTATGCTTCTATCAAAGAGAACAGGTCCATCACCTGTATCAAAGAGAACAGGTCCATCACCTGTATCAAAGAGAACAGGTCCATCACCTGTATCAAAGAGAACAGGTCCATCACCTGTATCAAAGAGAACAGGTCCATCACCTCTATCAAAGAGAACAGGTCCATCACCTCTATCAAAGAGAACAGGTCCATCACCTCTATCAAAGAGAACAGGTCCATCACCTCTATCAAAGAGAACAGGTCCATCACCTCTATCAAAGAGAACAGGTCCATCACCTCTATCAAAGAGAACAGGTCCATCACCTCTATCAAAGAGAACAGGTCCATCACCTCTATCAAAGAGAACAGGTCCATCACCTGTATCAAAGAGAACAGGTCCATCACCTGTATCAAAGAGAACAGGTCCATCACCTGTATCAAAGAGAACAGGTCCATCACCTGTATCAAAGAGAACAGGTCCATCACCTCTATCAAAGAGAAAAGGTCCATCACCTCTATCAAAGAGAAAAGGTCCATCACCTCTATCAAAGAGAACACATCACCTAAAGACACTAGCAAACAAAACTGAGGGTAGCTGGGAGTGGGAGGGGTTACATAGGGGAATGTTCCTTCAGCCTTTTTTGCCAGTGTCCAATCACTTGAAAGTAGCTGCTTATAGCCCAGTCGTAATGAATAAAGCTAAAAAAGGCATGAGCAAGTGAATGCTCCACAATGTCAGTAACCCCACATGGAGTATTTTTTGGGAATGCAAGCCTTGCTGCCCTCAACGAACCAGGGAAATCCAAAGAAGCTGTGTGCAAAGAAACAAACAAACAGAGGGCGCACGGGCCTAGCGCATTACCTCCTAAAATGGGAATATTGAATAAAAAGTAGTACACTCACAAAAGAATAAAATCAAAAGGCACATCACAAAAAAAGACAGCATGGTCCAGTCTCCCTAGATGGTGGCTGTTGGGGGACTGTAGGCCTACAAATGGCTGACGTGTTTCGAGGCAGAACCTCTTCCTCAGAGGAAGAGGTTCTTCCTGACGTGTTTCGAGGCAGAACCTCTTCTTCAGAGGAAGAGGTTCTGCCTCAAAACACGTCAGCCATTTGGAGGCCTACAGTCCCCCAACAGCCACCATGAGAGGCCACATATTTGCGTACGCTCAGCGCGAAGGAGTTAATGCAGCTCTGTAATCATTAAAACATATTTAAATGCATTTTTAATGCAAGCAGTGTATGTACCTGAATTGACTTGGTATCGGCCCTGCTAGGTAAGGATGTGGAAGTCTCTGAACTGGATGGACATTAATGAAAAGAAATTACATCTATAATATTTTTATATTATATTTTTTATGTAATCCTGTTGCTTTACCCAGCTGTCAGTTTACACTCCACTACATCAAGCTTTCTGCAGGTTTTCACAAGCCAGGTTTCCTAGATCACCAAATTACTGACAAAAGTATGAGATGGACTGGGGCAATCCAGTAAAGCCATATGAAGGACAGGAGTACCTAGCAAGTAAGTCATGCAAGTTACATGCTTTTAAAGACTTCATTTTTGACTGACCATTGTACCATTATTCCAAATTAATTTCGGTTACTACCCTGAAGGCCCTGTTCACACTTGATAATTTTGTAGCTTGCAGCTCAAAAACGCACAACAAGCAAAAATGTATCATTTTCGATAGCCCTTGTCCACATCTGAGCGTTCTTTCGCTTGTAGCAAAACGCCTGTCGCTCAAAAAAGTACACAAGCTACTTTTTGGGCAGAACTGAGCCTTTTTGTCCCAGGACTTCAATGGAAATACCTGAAAAGCGTGACATGTGCATTTTGTTGCACGTTTTCAGCTCAAATGACAGCTTTCCACCCCTTTTTCAGCTTTCCATTGGCCACATAAAAATGCCTAGTGGAAACACCTGAAAAAATGTGCAATTCTGCTCCAAAATAATGCTTAAAGAGGTAGTAAACCGAAGGACAAAAAAAAAAGTCCCCCTGCAAGGTAATGTCATAATTTGCTAGTATGCATTACATACTAGCACATTATGAAGGACTTACCTTAGAGATGACGTCACATCACGCCGGGCCACGGCACAGTACTCTGAAGGAAAGGCACGGATATGCCGTTCCTTCAGAGCACATGCACCAGCTCTAAAGAAGAGAGAATATCTCCTAAATGGTTCACTTCCATGAATGAACTGCAAGTCCCAACAGCCTTAGCGGCTGTCGGCTTGTAGTTTTCAATGATGATGGACTCCTGCAGGCCTGTCAGAATATCTGCTTGCCGTATGGGATGTACGGTCAAGCAGATATTCTTGATGTATGGGATGTACGGTCAAGCAGATATTCTTGATGTATGGGATGTACGGTCAAGCAGATATTCTTGATGTATGGGATGTACGGTCAAGCAGATATTCTTGATGTATGGGATGTACGGTCAAGCAGATATTCTTGATGTATGGGATGTACGGTCAAGCAGATATTCTTGATGTATGGGATGTACGGTCAAGCAGATATTCTTGATGTATGGGATGTACGGTCAAGCAGATATTCATGGGATGTACGGTCAAGAAGATATTCTTGATGTATGGGATGTACGGTCAAGAAGATATTCTTGATGTATGGGATGTACGGTCAAGCAGATATTCTTGATGTATGGGATGTACGGTCAAGCAGATATTCTTGATGTATGGGATGTACGGTCAAGCAGATATTCTTGATGTATGGGATGTACGGTCAAGCAGATATTCTTAATGTATGGGATGTACGGTCAAGCAGATATTCTTGATGTATGGGATGTACAGTCAAGCAGATATTCTTGATGTATAGGATGTACGGTCAAGCAGATATTCTTGATGTATGGGATGTACGGTCAAGTAGATATTCTTGTTGTATGGGATGTACGGTCAAGCAGATATTCTGAACTATCATTGAAGCTCCCTATCAAGAATATCTGCTTGACCGTACATCCCATACATCAAGAATGTCAAGAATATCTGCTTGTCCATACATCCCATACATCAAGAATGTCAAGAATATCCGCTTGACCGCACATCCCATACGGCAAGCAGATATTCTGACAGGTCTGCAGGAGATCTGCAGGGCATTAGCAATCTACTGATCGATGGTGCAATGCTTTCCAGGCTCCTTTGGACAAAAATAATAAATGCACATTTTTACCTGCAAAAAAATGTGCATTTATTATTTTTGTCCAAAAGGTGAACTTATCCTTTAAAAACCTAACAAGGTTGACAACCATTTCCCTCTCCATACAAAACTAAGTTTGGGCTTTCGATACACTTTGAAGGCATGCTTTTGTGTTGTCCTTTGCACCCAAGTAAACTCTTCCACAAAACGTCCGATACTGAGGAAAGTGGTCTTCATGGTTATAATGATCATCTACTTGACCCTGAACTCTTTGGGGTGGAAGTGTTTACAGAACAGCACTGGTCTCTGATCAGCATATCACGGTCCTTCATGTCCACTCATCCAAAGAGAAGAAAAGAGTCTTATTTCCATTACTTAGTGGGTCTTCCAATGCCTCTTCAGCTGGCTCTTCAGCCCAAACCCCTTTCCACAATCGGGACACTGGAACTTTTTTTCACGCATGTGCGTCTTTTCGTGGTTGCTGCAGTGCGAGCGCCGGGCAAAGCATCTCCCACAGTGTTTACAAGGGAATGGCTTTTCACCCGTGTGACTACGCATGTGCTTCAGCAAGTGTGAACGATCTGCAAAACCCCGGCCACAGTCAGTGCACTTGAACGGCTTCTCACCCGTGTGCATGCGCTGGTGGATGATCATGTGCGATTTAAACGAGAACTTTTTGCCACACTCGCCGCACGAGAAAGGCTTCTCCCCTGTGTGATAGCGCCGATGGGTCACCAAATTTTCTTTGTTCGTAAACCGCTTGCCGCAATGCTCGCAGGTATATGGCTTCTCGCCCGTGTGAATGCGTTTGTGCCGTGACAGGTGCGAGCTCTTAACAAAGGATTTGCCGCACTCTGTACATGTAAATGGTTTCTCTCCGTGTGTGAATCCGACTGTGTTTAATCAGGTTCGCCAGGCAGGAGAAACCTTTGCTGCATTCGGTGCAGGAGAAGGGACGCTCGCCGCTGTGTAGTCGTTGGTGTATTTCAAGGTTGACGAGGCGGGGAAAATGTTTGCCGCAGGTGGGACAGCGTACGGCTTGGATTCAGCGTGCTGCTTCTTATGCTGGATAAGGAGCTGCTTGTTTGACAAAAAAAGGTCGCAAAGGTTGCATTTAAACACCCGGGTGTGCGCCCTTAGATGAGATAAATAGGCTGCCTTGTTCTGGAATTTTCTGTCACACTCTTTGCACTTCACCATCAATCGGGGGTCGAAGCGTTCGTCGTTGTCATCGGCTCTGTACTCCATACCGTTTTCTGAGGGATGGCCATCCTGCTGGGTGGCAGGCTTCCTGTCCTTCTTCCGGATGTACCTTTTTTTTTTCGCGGCCCTTTCACTTTTTGAGTTCTTCTGCGTTTTGGCTGCTGATTGGCTGTTTCTCGGATAACTGTTCGACCTGTTAAAAACACAGACTGAAAATGAAATATAAATTGTAAAAACACAATCAATATAATACTTCGCACAAGGAGGAATTTTGGCCTGCCTGTAATTTCCATAACTTGGAGTACAGAGCAGGGCACAGGCTGAATATCCATAGACACTGGGTTATAGGTGGCTACCTTCAGGTGATTTTTTCTGGGCTTGCACCCTGGGCATGGTCCTATAACCCTGCCCCTCTCTGGAAGTCCTCATTTTTTAGCCAGCAATGGAACAGAGGGGAGGGTGGCCTGAGTCCTGAATTAGAGTACTCCAAGATACAGGATCTTCAGGCAAGTCAAAATTCCTCTTTTTTCAAATCCCACAGTACAGGACACTGCATATTTATAGACCTTAGGGTATCTCTAAGCAATGAATAGTGAGGCGGGTAACAAAAAGGAAACAAAAAACAGTGCCGACAGGTCCAACAAAACAAACAAGGGTCATAGACCCAACTCAGAGTGCAGCGAAGGCTGCATCTGCAGAAGCCTGAAGATCCAACTGGTAAAAGTTGGAGAAAATATGAACCGAACACCAAGTTCACCTTTCAGGAAAAAATAATAAATTACATATTTTTGAAGAAAAAATGTGCATTATTATTTCCTACAGGAGCCTTGAATCCCATGATTGTGATTCCTACTGAACCAGACTGAGAGACCATTTAAAGGCTGAGGAACCCTTTGCAGGTGTTATGGCTTAATTAGCTGATTAGAGTGGGACACTTTGAGCCAAGAATATTGCACCTTTTGCAGGATATTCTAATTTTTCGAGTTTCCCCTGTATGTGGGAAATTAACCTTTAATTGCCATTGTAAACCCGTGTGTGTCCCCTTGTGTGTCTGTACCAAGGCCAAACATTCCAGGGGGAGGGAAACATTTGGTCAGCGCCATTTGGCAGATTTCTTTAGGATTTAAAAAGCAGTCAAACAATTATGTGATCATGAATGGCCTCATATGACCACTATCCTTAAATAAAACATAGAAAAGTGAAGGCAGAAAAAGACTGAGAAGTCCATTGAGTCCGCCTTTTTTTTTTGGGGGGGGGGGGTTGTTTTTTTTTTTTTTTTATGTTATTAACACAGTTTTTGGCATGATCGTGAAACTTTGGCATGGATATTGAAAATCGGACTGATTTCTTCAAGGGTGTGCAAACTTTTGAGCACAACTGTAATTTAAATGAATTACGTTATCACTCCCCAGATGTCAGGGGGTGGGGGGGGGGGGGTACACTATGCTGAAACATGTTATACCCTAAATAAGGGGGGTACTGTGCTGGAACATGTTACACGTTATAACTTAAATATGGGTGTAGCATGTAACATGTTCTAAAAGGTGAACTTAGCCTTCAGGGAAATTACATTACTGCTCCCCCCCCAATAAATCAATAATACATTATAATTTACTGAAGACAGTAGTAAAGCCCATAGAAGTTAAAAGTGGTTATAAAGGCTCAAAGTTTTTTTTACCTTCATGCTTTCTTGGCACAAAAGTGCATGAGAGCAGCGACTCTCCTGGGAATCTCCCTCCCCACTGGCTGAGACATCAGTGGGAGCCATTGGCTCCCGCTACTGTCAATCACAGCCAGTGAGCAAATGAGGAGAGAGCAGGGGGACAGTGCAACCAAGCCACGCTGTGTGTGTTAATGGACATGCAGAGCAGCGGCTCAGGGGGTTAGCCTATTTGGGTACCTCCAAAGCAATCAGATTGCTATGGGCGCACTCAGCAGGAGGGAGGGGCCAGAAGAACCGGCGGGGGACCCGAGAAAAGGAGGATCGGGGCTGCTCTGTGCAAAACCATTGCACAGAGCAGGTAAGTATAACATGTTTATTGTTTTAAAAAAATATGTCTTTAATATAAACTCTAATGAGCAGGGCCCTCTGATTTCTACTGTATGAAATTGTATTGTAAATGTACTGTCTGTCCTCATGTTGTAATAATAATAAATAATATAAATAATAATAAGTAATATCAGTGTAACCGCTTTCCCGCCATCTTATAGCAGATATACTGCTACAGGGCGGCAAGGGTGCACAAAATCACGTATATATATGTGATTTTACATTTCCGGGTAGGGGGCACATGCGCTCTACCTGCACTGCTATTCGTGGCCTTGGCTGTCAATCACTGGGTCCCGGCTGGTGATTACTCTCGATTACTAGGAGAATTACCGATGGAGGGAGAGAACAGTATGTAAACAGTACAGTTCTCTCCAGTCAGCTCCTGCACACTGCTATGCATGGCTTTGCATAGCAGAGCCATGCAAAGCAGTGTGCTTACAGTGATGCACACACACAGTAAAACAGCACACAGTTAACCCCTTCCTGCCCAGTGCCATTAGTACAGTGTCAGTGCTTTTTATTAGTACCGATCCCTGTATTGGTGTCACTGGGGATGTCAATGATACCAAGTCAGTTCCCTCCCAGTGTCAGAATGCCCACCGCGCAGTCCCGCTATAAGTCACTGATAGCCGCCGTTACTAGTAAAAATATAAAAAAAAAAAAATCCCAGTATATATACCGCCATTTGTAAATGCTATAACTTTCACGTAAATCAAATAATTTACATGTATTTAATTTTTTTTAGCAAAAACATGTCACAGAATACATTTTGGCCTAGATTATGATGAAATTTGATTTTATTGGACATGTTTAATAGCAAAAAGTAAAAAATATTGTCAGTCTTTTTTTTTTATAGCGCACAAAATTAAAAAAAACGCACAGGCGATCAAATACCACCGATAGAAAGCTCTATTTGTGGGGAAAAAAAGGCTGTAAATTTCATTTGGGTGCAGCGTTGCATGACCGCGCAATTGTCAGTTAAAGTAACGCAGCGCCGTAACGTAAAAACTGGCCTGGTCAGGAAGGGGGGGGGGATCCTCTGGAGGGCAAGTTACACAAGTGGAATTCCTTCTCTCCTGTTTTTCAGGAGTCACTGTACCAGCATCCTGACTGCATCCCTAAACCCTTGCAGACTTACGTTGTAATCGCTCGGATCGCGGGGTTGCTGGCGTTACTCGAGGGGTGTCACTGTATAGGTTCTTGTGCTCGTTATAATACTCCCATTCATCCGTGGTGAAGAAAACGGCAACATTGTCATGTTTGAGAGGGACCTGGAACAATAAATGACATGATCAGTGTCTGTAAAGGCAAAAACATTTTTTCTAACTTTAGACAGACCCATCTCGCGTAGACCCAGATTCACCATTGTCCCCAGAAGAACGAACATTTTAGAGCTGTCTTAAGAACGACAGTTGATGAAAAATCCTCCTGAATACAACAAACCACCCGGCCACAGTCCTTTCCTCTATCAGCCATCAGCCCTGATATGCAAATATCAAAATGCCTTGATGAGATGGTGTGTGAGCATGGAGGGTGGGCGTTTTGAGGCAGGCTGTGCCTGCATGCAGGTCACCCTAGGTCAGGGCTTGAAATTTCCACACGCCTGCTCGCCAATGGCGAATGGAAATTATGGTGGGGGCAAGTGTGTCCCCCTGAGCCGTCTTGCTGAGCGGGCTTGGAGCTCAGGCCGGATCTGTCATTGGCACTGGGAGCCGTCAGACTGCTCAATAGCTGAGCGCAGTGAAAGCAAAGGAAGGGAATGTGTGCTGTGCTCTCTGCCTCCCCCTAGAGTGCAGTACCCGACTCTGTGAGTGAACAACGAAGTACTGCAACTTTTTAATAGGGGTGTGTGTGTGTGTGTGTACGTGTGTGTGTGTGTGTGTGTCTGTGTATGCATGTACATGTGTCTGTGTGTATGTACATGTGTGTACCTGTACATGTGTCTGTGTGTATGTACGTACATGTGTCTGTGTATACATATACATGTGTCTGTGTATGTATGTATGTATGTACATGTGTATGTATGTATGTACGTACATGTGTCTGTGTGTTTGTACATGTGTCTGTGTGTATGTGCGTATGTTCGTGTGTATTTCTGTGTATGTACATGTATCTGTGTTTTATGCGTATCTGTACGTGCCTGTGTGTGTATACAATGTCTATATGTGTGTGTGTGTACATGTGTCTCTGTGCATGTGTGTACATGTTTCTGTGTGTGTGTATGTATATACGTACATGTATCTGTGTGTATTTCTGTGTATGTACATGTATCTGTGTGTATGCGTGTCTGTACGTGCCTGTGTGTGTATACATGTGTCTGTATGTGTGTATGTGTACATGTGTGTCTATGCGTGTGTGTACATGTTTCTGTATGTGTGTGTGTATGTACATGTCTGTGTGTGTACAGGTGTCTGTGCGTGTGTACATGTTTGTGTGTATGTGCACATGTCTGTGTGTGTGTCTCTGTGCGTGTGTGTACATGTTTGTGTATATGTCTCTGTGTGTGTGTGTGTACATGTTTGTGTATGTGTGTGTGTATGTACATGTCTGCGTGTACAGGTGGCTCTGTGCGTGTGTGTACATGTTTGTGTATATGTGTGTGTGTGTGTATGTACATGTCTGTGTGTGTGTACAGGTGTCTCTGTGTGTGTGTGTACATGTTTCTGTGTATGTACATGTCTGTGTATGTGCAGAGGTGTCTCTATGCGTGTGTACATGTTTCTGTGTGTATGTACATGTCTGTGTGTGTGTGTACAGGTGTCTCTGTGCGTGTGTGTTTGTTGGTTGGGAGTAACTCTAAGGCCTGGCTAGTAGCTCAGGACTTGAAATTTTAAGCCCTGCATTGCAATTGATCCATGATTGAAAGAACTGAAATCCAATGAATGAAGTGGATGGGCCAGGGATAGTCCGGCTGGGAATGAAAGGGCTACAAGATGCTGATGTTCTCCAGCCAGGAAATGAGGGAGGCTCCAACTTTCTGCAACTTCTTAGGCACACGGTAAAATCACAGCAATTTCTCTCCAGTAGAGGAACCTGTACAACTGTGCAAGACTGAAGGGAAGGCTGCAGCTCAGCTTTAAAGTGGAGCTCCACCCAAAAGGGGAACTTCCGCTTTAACCACTTCTCGTCCGGCCCATGTACATAAACGGCTGGACGGGAGCAGTGCAGGAGTGGGTTGCCATTCATAAACGGCGCACGCATCTTCAGGCTGTGCGCGCTCGCTGGGAGCGCGCGGCACCACGATCCTGTGCCTGCTGTGTCCTCTGTGCGAGGTCCCGATCATGTGATCACTGATTGGCCAATCAGTGATCACATGAAGAGCAGTACGCAAGATGTCACTTCTGACATCATTGCTTACTACGTGTGAAATCTATGAATGATCACAGAGGTCACATGGTACAAGGCTATTCACAACAGCCTTGTACCATGTGACAAGCTAAGACCAATCACAGCTCACACAGTATTTCTCAACGGCTGCAGGAATGCAGCCAGAGAAAACGAGAAATGATTGCATTTACAGCCTTTATGGCGGTAAAAGCAATCAGTGTAAGAAAAAAAAAATCTTCATCATGCCCCACAAGTAGTACAGTGTCACTATGGTGACACTGTACTGCTAGGGTGACAGTATGTTAAAAAACAAAAAAAATAATAATATAAAAAAAAAATATAAAAATGTAATAATTTTTGGTTATAAACTAATTTGGGTCACTTTTTTTTTTACTAAAAAGATAACCAAATAAATTTTGGCCAAGATTTATGAAGAGAGGTTATTTATTTGCAAAATTTTATAAGAAAAACACTTTTTTTTTTTCTAAATTTTTGGACTTTTTCATTTATATAGCAAAAAAAAAAAAAAAAAAGTGGGGAAAAATTTCGACCAAAATAAAGTTTTATCTGTTTCAAAAAAGGCTAAAAAATTCATATGGGTACAGTGTTGCATGACCGCACAATTGTCATTCAAAGTGTGACAGCGCTGTGAAAGCTGAAAATTGGCCTGGACAAGAAGGGGGTAAAAGCATCCGGACTGGAAGTAGTTAAAAAAAAAAAACATAAATAATAATAATATAAAAAAAAATAAAAATGTAAAAACATTTTTTTTTTTATTTTAATTTTTGGTTATAAACTAATTTGGGTTGTTTTTTTTTTTTTTTACTATAAAGATTACTGACTAAATGTTGGCCAAGATTTTTGAAGAAAGATTATTTATTTGCAAAATTTTATAAGAAAAACACTATTTGTTTGGACTTCTTCATTTATATAGCAAAAAAAAAAAATGATAAAAATTCATATGGGTACAGTGTTGCATGACAGCGCAATTGTCATTCAAAGTGTGCATAGCGCTGAAAGATGAAAATTGGCCTGGCCAGGAAGGGGGTGAAAGTGTCCGGACTGGAAGGAGGTGAAAGTGTACAGACAGGAAGGGGGTGAAAATGTCCGGACTGGAAGTGGTTAAGGACTGGGCCCCTGTTCCCCATTAAGGATTGGCATCTTTGGGGAGGGGGTACCCAAAATTGACAGGTACCCGCTCCCACTTCTGTTGCGATTGGAAGCAGAAATTGTCCTCCCCCCTCCCTCCCCATAGTCTTGTGGGACACGTGACAGGTCCCAGAAAACTACGGGGCCATTCAGCAAGCACAGCACTTTTCGCGCATACGCAGTGGGCACCCAGCTGTGAAGCCGCAAGCTGTCACAGCCGGGTGTCCACACTGAAGATGCCGGCGCATGGAACACCAGATGGCTGGTGTGAAACGGGCTACGGGGAGGATACTGCAGGATCGTGGGACAGGTAAGTGGCTGTTTTTTAAAAGTCAGCAGCTACAGTTTTGTTAGCTTCTGACTGTTATTTTTTTACAGTGTGAGTGGAGCTCCACTTTAATATGTTTTATATCAAAAAGTACAATATTTTTTCTTTTCAAAGTGCTCTCGTTTATATCACAAAAAAATAAAAAAACACAGCATTGATCAAATACGACCAAAAGAAAGCTCTATTTGTGTGGGAAAAAAAAAAATAAAATTTCATTTGAATACAGCGTTGCATGATGGCACAATTACCAGTTAAAGTAGCACAGTGCGGTGTGACGGGAGTGACTTTGGGTGGGGGGCCCATGGAACACAGCCCAATTTGGAGAGGCGGGGAGACCCCTTTCTCAGCTCCCCATATCCCTACTATGTGTAAGTCACCCTGTGCCTCTTAGGGGTACAGGGTGATCTGTCCTAATATTGTGTAGACATGTATAGGTGGGGTGTGGGGGTTGTTCATTGTTTACTGCCATGTGGTACATCCCATTGTTGTATTGTGGGTCTTGCTTGGGAGCAAACTATTATGGATGTATGTGTTTGTGTATTGGCTTGGTGGGGGGTGTCTGCTGATGTGTCTCTGGTTGCTAGATTTGGTTTGCCCCGCCCTGTGTCTATATGCAGGGAGGGGGGTTTTTCCCTTCAATGTTTATATCTTGTGTCTGTGTTAAAATAAAGCAGTCTATTTCCTGGTTTCGTTCAAGAGTAGTGTCTGTAGTTTGTGTTCGGACAGGGAAGCGGGGTCCGGTATAGGAAATACCCTAGTGCAGTCGGGGTCCGGTTCCGTTCACATGCGGTATAGCAAAAAATGGCCTGGTCATGAAGGGGGTAAAATCTTCATTTTTGACAGGGTGAGTGGAACTCCACTTTATGTGACCATCTAAAACTTCTAAAAGCTAGAAATGGACATTTAGTGTTAATGAGACCCTGTCATCAGATTAAAGTTTCTCAATTATACCCGGATATCTGAAGACTGCTTTCTGAGCCGCTGTCAGCGTCAGGTGTGTGATCTCGGCCCCCAACAATTCAGACTGTAAATAAAAAGGAGTTTTGAAATCTGTCAGATCCAGGAGATAAAATGTAGCAGCAGAGCTTACTGCTCAATACTGTAAAATATATGTGAGGGATGACCGCACAGGAACAGTTGTAGTGACTGCACTGTCTACAGGGTGTCACTGATGTACTGACTGCACTGTCTACAGGGTGTCACTGATGTACCGACTGCACTGTCTACAGGGTGTCACTGATGTACCGACTGCACGGTCTACAGGGTGTCACTGATGTACCGACTGCACTGTCTACAGGGTGTCACTGATGTACCGAATGCACTGTCTACAGGGTGTCACTGATGTACCGAATGCACGGTCTACAGGGTGTCACTGATGTACCAACTGCACTGTCTACAGGGTGTCACTGATGTACTGACTGCACTGTCTACAGGTGTCACACTGATGTACCGACTGCACTGTCTACAGGGTGTCACTGATGTACCGACTGCACTGTCTACAGGGTGTCACTGATGTACCCGACTGCACTGTCTACAGGGTGTCACTGATGTACCGACTGCACTGTCTACAGGGTGTCACTGATGTACCAACTGCACTGTCTACAGGGTGTCACTGATGTACCGACTGTACTGTCTACAGGGTGTCACTGATGTACCGACTGCACTGTCTACAGGGTGTCACTGATGTACTGACTGCACTGTCTACAGGGTGTCACTGATGTACTGACTGCACTGTCTACAGGGTGTCAGTGATCTACTATGTAAGATGGTGGTGATCCGGGACGGTTTGCCGAGAAATCGCACACAACACTTTATAAATAAAGCAATGAATCCAAACAACAAAGCCTTTTATCAATTTTATATGTGATCCCCCCAGGGCTGAGACAAAAGGTGGGCAACAGGGACAGATGTCCCATACCCGGTGGCATCATGTGAAGTGGGGGGGCACCATGGGAGAGTTCCTGCTTACAAGCTGACAGGAGGGGGGATATCTGTGCTGAAAGAGAGAATGGGGGGGGGACCAGGCGGAATGACAACTCATGGGGCCCCCGGGCAATAGAGGATCATGGGGCCCCTGTGTCTTTGCCCAAACTCAAAAAAGCCTATGAAAAAGGTACCAGGGGCATCTCATGGGGCCCCCTACTGACCCTGGGCCCTCGGGCAGTGCCCGAGTTTCAAAATGGTCAGTCCGCCCCTGGGGGTGGACTGTGCTAGAAGGGGTGATTTGTGTTAGGAAGGGGGGGAGATTTGTGCTAGTAGGGCTTGAGGGGGGGGTCCTGGGTGGGGATTTCTATTGGAAGAGGCAGATTTATTGCTCCATGCACACAGGGGGGTGTTTTTGATCACGCTGGTAACGTTAGCTGTGTAACGTCACCTTAAAAAATAAAAGTTTTTCAGATTTTTTTGTGTTTTTGCATTAGCATTTAGCTGCGTTTTCTCGCGTTTTTCCATGTTTGTGGTTTTTAGTTTTTTTTTTAACCGCTTCACGCCGGCTGCACACAAATGTGCGACCTCCCAGCATCTGGGCCTAGAGCGGATGCATATTTGTGTGCAATTAAGAAAAACATACGTGCTGAGGGCGTGCGCCCTGCACGCTCCCAGCACACATGTCCGGTACGCATGGAAACGTCCCGATCTCCTCTTTCGATCGGGACCTTTCCCGATCATGTGACCGCCGTGACAGCGAATCACGGCGGTCACATGACCATGAAACCCCCGCCCTTTAAGGGTTCCAGAAGCCAGGAGGCAGGGCGGGGTTTTTAGGGTCATGTGACCGCCCTGATTTGCGGTCACGGCGGTCACATGATCGGGAAAGGTTTTTAGCGTTTTTTCTTTTAACCAAATAATAATAATTTTTTTTGGTCAAGAAAACTTACAAAAAATGCCGGTTTGCGGCGTTTTACTGCATTTTTCACTGTTACAGCATTTTTATAGCTAAAAAATTCCTCTAGAAATCCACTAGTTCTGGTTTTTTTTTTTTTCCAGCCAAAAAGTGCCCCTGCCAAAAAAAAATGTTGTTTACAGCCTATGTGTGCATGAATACATAGGATAACATGTTGGGGGGTTTACTGGCTGTAGGAAAAAAACGTCAAAAGCCAAAAAAACGTTGATTCCAGTGTATGTGTGCATGGACACATAGGAACACATGCTGGGGGGTTTACTGGCTGTAGAAAAAAAAAACGCGTCAAAAGCCAAAAAACAGCCGCTGTAAAAACATCCCGTGTGCATGAGGACTTAAGGGTAGAGTGGATTTGTGCTGAAGGGGTATTTGTGGAGGATTTGAGCTGGGTGGGGGGCAAAACTTAGCTGCGAAGTTGGGAATTTCAGTGAGTGTGGGGGAAATTTGTACTGGGAAGAGGGGGAATTTTGTGTTTGGGGAGGATTTAGGCTTGCAAAAGGAATTTATGCTTAGGGGGTAAGTGTAGAGATTAGTGCTTACATTTTTTTTTTGGTGGGGGGGATGGTCATTGTTTCCCTGGAAGCTAGATGACCTTGTCCCGGCCCTGCTACCAAGACCCCATTTAACCACTTCCAGTCCGGACACTTTCACCCTCTTCCTGTCCAGGCCAAATTTCCAGCTTTCAGCGCTATCACAATTTGAATGACAATTGCACGGTCATGCAATACTGTACCCATATGAATATTTTAGCTTTTTTTGAGACACATAAAGCTTTATTTTGGTGGTATTTACTTTTTTTTTTTTTTTGCTGTATAAATGAAAAAGTCAAAAGATTTTGAAAAAAAGTGTTTTTCTTATAAAATTTTGCAAATAAATAATATTTCATCATAAATCCTGGCCAAAATGTCCTAAAAAGTTATCTTTTTAGTAAAAACCAAATAACCCAAATTAGTTTATAACAAAAAATTATAATTTTTAACATTTTTAGTTTATTTTTTTTATATTATTATTTATGGGGTTTTTTTTTGTTTTTTTTACATGCTGTCACCCTAGCAGTACAGTGTCACCATAGTGACACTGTACCACTTGTGGGGGGTGAAGATTTTTTTTTTTTTTTTTGTTTACACTGAATGTTTTTACACCCATAAAGGCTGTAAAATGCAATCATTTCTCCTTCTCTCTGGCTGCAATCTTGAAGCCATTGAGAAATACTGTGAGAGCTGTGATTGGTCACATGGTACAAGGCTGTTGTGAATAGCCCTGTACCATGTGATCTCTGTGATCATTCACAGATTTCACACGTAGTAAGCAATGGTGTCAGAAGTGACATCATTGCTTACTACTTTCCTGTGATCACTGATTGGCCAATCAGTTCAATATAAAGAGGGATTGGAGGGCCTGGCTCCTTGGAGCTTACAATCTAGGATCACATGATCGGGGACCTCACATAGAGGTCCCGTACGATAATTGGGGTTCCACAGTGGCCGGAGGAGGACACAGCGGGCACCGGATCGCGGTGCTGCGCGCTCCTAGGGAGCGCGCACAGTCCAAAATGGGGCGGGCGCCATTTATGAACGGCAACCCGGCCCTGGACTGCCACTGTCTGGCCGTTTATATACAAGGGCTGGACGGGAAGTGGTTAACAGAAAGGTTTTTCCGGAGTGCCCCAAAAAAATTGAAGTAGACCAAGATCACCTAAATAGAACATATGTCCATACTGGTCTGATGTGAAGTGAGACCCCAACACTGCCAGATGTGCATGCCAACTACTTAGCCATCACGATGCCGTGAATCATGAGTGGTGCTCACCTCTCCAGTCAGCAGCAGAATCATGTGGTTGGTCAGTTCCAGGATCTTTGCGTTGTTGATGGTCTTACTTGTCGGAGGCAGAAGATCCAAGCTGAACCCTTCAGGAATACCGAGGACGCCGGAGTCACTCTGCTTCTTCACCAGAATGTATTCCTGTGGATTGACACGCATGTTCATATATGTAGTCTCAGGCCTTCAACGTGAAAGAACGATGCTTCACTTCCCCCAAATGGGAAAAGTGACAGTCTCTTTAACTGTTTCCATACCGGGCACTTTTACCCCCTTCCCTCCCAGGCCATTTTTCACGTTTCAGTGCTCTGACACTTTGAATGACAATTGCGCGGTAAAACAACATTGTACCCAAGCTAAAATTTTATCATTTTCTTCACACAACTAGAGCTTTCTTTTGGTGGTATTTAATCACCGCCGGGGTTTTTATTTTTTGCTAAATTAACAAAAAAAGGCCGAAAATTTTGAAAAAAAAAAAACCACGTTTTTCTTTGTTTCTGTTATAAAACGTTTGCAAATAAATAATTGTTCTTCATAAATTTAGGCCGAGATGTATTCTGCTACATGTCTTTGGTGAAAATAACCAAAATTAGGATGCATTTTTTAGTTTGTAGGAAAGTTATAGAGTTCACAAACTATGGTATAGATCTGAATATTGATCAATCCTGAAGTACTGACAGCCAATCTAATATCTTGAGGTCCAAGAATGTCAGAACAGTACAGATATCCCCCAAATGACCCCTTTTTGCAAAGTAGACAGTCCGACGTACTTCATAAGAGGCATGGCGAGTTTTTGAAGTTGTATTTTTTTTGTCATAATTTTTCTGAAAATGAAAAAATTAAAAAAATTATTTTCACTATTTTTTTTTACATATTGTCACCAGTGCAGTACAGCGTCATCATATAACTGGCATGGCGGTGATCAGGGACACTGACTGGTGACAGTATGAAAAAAAATATATATATATATAATTTTTTTATTTTTTTTTTTATTATTTTTTCATTTTTTATTACTTTTTTTTCATATTTCACTATGACCAAAGTAGTACAATGTTACCATAATAACATTGTACTACTTTGGGGAAGTGATCAGTATTTTTTTTTTTTTTACACAATTTGCTTATAGCAAAGAATTACTTTGCTATAAGCAGGCATTTACCTGAATGACATTGATTCATTCAGGGTTTTTTTTTTTTTTCTTTGTGCTTAGCTGTGATTTGGCCACAGCTAATCACATAACACAGCTGGGCTGTGATTAGCCCAGCTTGTGCATGTGATCGCTGTGACCAATCACAGCTACACACACTAGTATACAATGGATGGCATGAATGAAGCCATCCACTGTATACAACGGTCATGTGACCTGCTGTGATTGGTCATCGGCAACGGGCCAGTACACAGATCTGTCATCGGCCGTGTCTGAGGTACACGGCCGGTGACAGATCGCGCCGCTACGCGGCTCTGCAGGCGCGCAAACGGCGAATGCCTGGGATATGCTGAGGGATTTTGCAGGCCGCCGTTCGGCCATAGGCCGGGCAGATAATTGTTAAAGAGACCCTGTCACCGGTTTTCACTTCTCAGTCTAAACCCTTCTTTCAATACAGACAACAGACCACAGCCGGAGTGGAGGAAGGGTCAGGGTGGAAGTTGTCATATCTTCGGTATTGAAATAAGAGTTTACATTGAAAAGTGAATACTAGTGACGGGGTCTGTAATGGTGTAAATAGAGCAAGAAGGATAAGAACCTCTGAATATTTTTACTGCTACCCAGGGTTCCTTTAACCCGTCGCCTACAGGGCACTTTAACTACCTCCTTCCAGCCCTGGCCAATTTTCAACTTTCAGCTCTGTCGCACTTTGAATGACAATTGCGTGGTCATGCAACACTGTACCCATATAAAATTTTTATCATTTTTTTTTTTTTTTTTTAGACAGATGGAGCTTTCTTTTGGTGGTATTTAATCACCTCTGGGTTTTTTTATTTTTTGCTAAACCAAAAACAACTGAAAATTTTTGAAAAAAAAAACAACTTTTTTTCTTAGTTTTTGTTCTAAAATTTTGTAAATAAGTGATTTTTCTCCTTCACTGATGTGCGCTTATGAGGCTGCAGTGATGGGCACTGATAGGCTGCAGTGATGGGCACTGATGGGCATTGACAGGCATCACTGATGGCACTGAAGGCAGCACTCATATATGGCACTGATAGGCAGCACTGACTGGCACTGATAGGTGACACTGAAATGCAGCTCAGATGGGCACTGATATGTGGCATTGATATGCACTGGTAGGCACTGATATGCGGCATTGATGAGGCACTGATAGGTGGCATTGATAGACACTGACAGGTGGCACTGCTGTGGCTACACTGATCACCAGGGCACACTGATCATCAGTGCCCTGATGATCAGTGTACATGTCCCCTCTGAGGAATGCCGATTACCGGTAGAATAGACAAAATTGCAACAACAAATTCAGCAGAAATGCATGTCTAACAAATGATGACTGATTTGCATGTTCATGAGGGAAATAAGTATTTGATCTCCTTCACAAAACATGACTTAGTACTTGGTGGTAAATCCCTTGTTGGCAATCACAGAGAGGTCAGACGTTTCCTGGAGTTGGCCACCAGGTTTGCACACATCTCAGGAGGGATTTTGGCCCACTCCTCTTGGCAGATCCTCTCCAAGTCATTAAGGTTTGGTGGCTGCCGTTTGGCAACTCGAACTTTCAGCTCCCTCCACAGATTTTCAATCGGATTAAGGTCTGGAGACTGGCTAGGCCACTCCAGGACCTTAATGTGCTTCTTCTTGAGCCACTCCTTTGTTGCCTTGACCTTGTGTTTTGGTCATTGTCATGCTGGAACACCCATCCACTACCCATTTTCAATGCTCTGGCTGAGGGAAGAAGGTTCTCACCCAAGATTTTGATGGTACATTGCCCCATCCATCGTCCCTTTGATGCAGTGCAGTTGTACTGTCCCCTTAGCAGAAAAACACCGCCAAAGCAGAATGTTTCCACCACGTTTGACAGTTGGGATGGTGTTCTTGGGGTCAAGGCAGCATTCCTCCTCCTCCTCCAACACGGCGAGTTGAGTTGATGCCAAAGAGCTGAATTTTGGTCTCATCTGACCACAACACTTTCAACCAGTCCTCCTCTGCATCATTCTGATGTTCAGTGGCAAACTTCAGACGGGCCTGGACATGTGCTTTCTTGAGCAGAGGGACCTTGTGGGCACTACATGATTTCAATCCTTGTCGGCGTAGTGTGTTACCAATTGTTTTCTTGATGACTGTGGTCCCAGCTGCCTGGTGATCATTAACAAGATCCTCACATGTAGTTCTAGGATGATTCCTCACTGTTCCATGATCATTGACACTCCACGAGGTGAGATCTTGCATGATGCACCAGACCTAGGGAGACTGACAGTTGTTTTGTGTTTCTTCCATTTGCGAATGATTGCACCAACTGTTGTCACCTTCTCACCAAGCTGCTTGGCGATAGTTTGGTAGCCCAATCCAGCCTTGTGTAGGTCTACAATCTTGTCCCTGACATCCTTGGACAGCTCTTTGGTCTTTGCCATGGTGGAGAGTTTGGAATCTGATTGTTTGATTGCTCCTGTGGACAGGTGTCTTTTATACAGGTAACAAAATGAGATTAGCAGCACTCCCTTTAAGAGACTGCTTCTAATCTCAGCTTGTTACCTGTATGAAAGACACCTGGTAGCCAGAAATCCTGCTGAATGATAGGGGATCAAATACTTATCTCCCTCTTGAACATGCAAATCAGTCATCATTTGTTAGACATGCATTTCTTTTGAATTTTTTGTTGCTATTCTGTCTCTCGATCACTTCTTTGTGAGTGGGCAAACATTCAAAATCAGCAGGGGATCAAATACGCATTTCCTTCACTGTATATATGTTTGTGATTATTGTTGCACTGAGGATAATACACTTTTTTCGTTTTTGTATTTTTTGAGGTACACAGCGATATTGGATTTCATTTTTTGACTATCACATTGAAGATTATTTGAAGAGATACTGACACTAAAGAGGATTTATGATTTATATTTTGGACTTTCAGCTGTGAAATTTGGACTTTTAAGGTATAGGGTATTCATTTTTTCATAATTTTTCACATTTATTTGTATAATTTGCACAATTTTTGTTTTGTTTGTAATATTTGGATACTGATTTTTATTCAGTTTATAGGAAATGAAAACAACTAGATTCCCAGTAAAATCAGCACACAGTACGCACACACAACCACTTTCCTGTGATTGGGATCCAAACCCTTTAAAATTCGTCATCACAGAACAAGTTAGTGATGGAATGTCTGCCTCTGAATTTCCCAGAATTCCTTACCTCGCCAGTGAGGAGGAAGGTGATTTCCATAGCGAGTTTTAAGATCCTTCCGGGCAACGGATCCAATATCTTGTCTTTTCCCTCCAAGTCTGGGAGTCGGTCAATACCCCAATCCATGCTGTATTCACTGAAAGAACGAATAAAGAATACATCACAAGAGGAGCAGGGCAAAAAAGGAAAAGCAAATGATAATCAGAATA